TGGGACGCATTAGCGTTTTAACTAGACTTTAGAGATTGAGGTTTTGTTATAAAAATCAGCACTGAAAACTAATAAAGAAAATAATTAATTCTAGGCCCCCTTTTTTTAGACATTAATTTTTAACAACAAAAAAAATGGTTAATTTTACTTTCAATTTGTTAATTTTAAATTTTAAGAAAAAACATTTAGATTTGGATTTTAAAACAAAACATGATTTTTCTTGGGGATTATCATATGAAAAGATTAATTAATGTATTAAGCTAATGTAATATTATGGTTAGACTATTAAAATAATAAAACAAATCTAATAATTATCAGACAGAGTAATAAACCAAAAGCCACACACGCGTAAAACACATGGGAACGACCATTTGTCTTCTTTCATTCCCTTAGAGTTTTTTTGCATCCTCTTCTTCTTCATGAGGCGCTGGCCATGGATGATGGTTTTGAGCTTTTCCGATTTCGCTCTCCTTTAAGCTTGCATTTCCGGATCTCCCTTCTTCTTCTTCACTTTCCTGCAAAACAAAATGAAAAAGGATAAATACCATCCGAATTGCTCACCTTTTTGGGAGGTTAGGAGCGGCTCGCGGTAATGGTTGAGATCGACGATGATGAAGATGAGGAAAAACCTCCCCCTGAGTCCGGTTACGGCGATTTGAGCGAAGACGGTAGTGACTCCTCTGACGGATTCGCGGCCTCTGTTCAACTCGTTACTAGGCTGTTCTTCCTGATGCCTTCGCGACCCTTTTCAATTTCGAATCTTCTTTCTTCTTCTTTCCAACTGGGTGATGATGAAGCTAGGAGCTTCTGAATCCAACTCTTGTTGCGCTGCCGCCGTTTTTGCGTGTGAGCTCGCTTAGGGTTTGCGGACCCCTTTCTGATGATATTTATATGAATTCTTTATATGCTTGATGGGCTTTTTGGATGTGCGAAAAACTGGGGTTGCCTTCGATTTTCTTGTTTTGATTTTGTTGGCTGGTTGTTGCAAAAAGTGTTGTTGCTTTGCTTTACTGGTTTTGTGTGACTTGTTTGTTGAGAACTTGTTGCGACATTGTGTTTCACTGGGCATTTTTCACGGATGTGTTTGGACAGTTTGGCTTGACGAACTTGTTGGAGATTTTTCAGAAAAACTGTTGCTGAGTTTGTTTTGCTTGATAGATCCGTTGGATTACTTGGAAAATGATTATGCTGTGTTTGGCTTAATTTCCTGGAAAAATCAAATTTCAAAAATAAGCACTTTTCAATAAGGGCTTTTCCCACCAGCTTTTTTTGATAAGCACTTTTCTACAAACCAACTTTTTATAAAAGTGTTTTTCCTTTATCTCTCTCTCTCTCTCTCTCTCTCTCTCTCTCTCTCTCTCTCTCTGTCGCCTCGGATAAGAACGGATTTTACCGACTTTGGCCCTTGGCCGAGAATTGGATCGGGAGCTGGTTTAGGAGGAATCCGTTACCCTCCCGACACCCGATGATGATGCTACTCTGAGGGTGTCGACAAAAACTAACCGATAAACTTGTTTGCTTATTTTGCAGGTACGAAGAAAAGTCGGAGAAATCGGGGAAATCAAAATTCTTTTAGGAACAATATATTTTATATTTTGTAATTTTGTTTATATTTTTTTTGTAATTTTTATTTATTAAATTTTTTTGTAATTTTGTATATTTACTTTTTTGTAATTTTGATTATTAAAGAAATATTATTGTATAATAAAATTCTTTATTTTTAAATTAAAAAATATGCAATAAAACCAATAATGAAAATATGCAATTAAAAATAAATGGAATGTAATAAGGTGGTATGATGGATTTAAAAATAAATGAATTTTAAAAAATGCAATGTGGTTAAAACAAAATTAATAAAAGAATGAAATTAAATTGATGTAGCAGTAAACCAAGGTGCCACCATCACCACCACCGGAACCGCTTGCCAGCTTGAAGACCCCTCAGATTGTTTCAAGAACTACAACGCCACCGGACTCTAGCTTGAAGACGCCTGAGATTGGAGCAAAAACTGATAAAGAGATGAAAGCCACACTCGAGAATACAATCAAAGAAACCCCAACAAAAATGACACAAGCTCAACCGGAGGAGCGTAAACTATGGGTGGATATTATAAATGACAACCGGAACCCTGTCAAGGGACTGACAATGGAATACGTCGCGCCAAAAGTAGTCAACGGGATGATTGAAATTGATATTGAACAAGAAGACATCGAAAAGAAAATACGATTTTGGGATAATGCCCTAATTCTTTATGTTGTGGAAGATGATTTGAGTATGAACACGGTGAAGAACTTTATACGGAGAACATGGAATATCGTGAAAATACCAGATCTTTATTATCACGATGACGGTTATTTTCTGCTCAGATTCAACTCCCAGAAAGACAAGGAAGCCGTGATGATGAAAGGCCCTTACACAATTCGACATATACCCATGATACTGAAGGAATGACATCCTGGTTTCAATCTAAAGAGGGACCTGCTAAGAACTCTACCAATATGGGTGAAACTCCCCCAACTTCCCCTGCACCTATGGGGGACAAAAAGTCTGAGCAAGATTGGAAATGCCATTGGAAAACCCTTGGTGACTGATGAATGTACAACAAACAAGCTCCGTGTATCATATGCAAGGCTACTGATTGAAGTGGATATTACACAACAATTGATTGATGAAATAGCCATCAGAAATGTTGAGGGAGATGTTATAATGCAGCCTGTGAAGTACGAATGGAGACCAACATTCTGCGAAACATGTCAAAAAATGGGGCACAAATGTGAAGACCGACGACAGACTCAACAATGGAAACCAAAACCCAAGCCACCAGAAACATCCAAGAACATCACACCCTCAAAACAACCAGAAAAAGAGGAAGCAACAGGGCAAGCAGATGAAACATGGACAAGAGTGACAAAAGCTGTACGAGGTAAAAGTAATAGCATATTGCTTGATAATAATAGCAACATCAACTGTAACAATGGGTTTGAAGCTCTTGAGTTTATGAATGACCATCAAGGGGTAATAAACCTTGAACCATGTTAGTCTCGTGGAACATAAGGGGACTCAATAAATTAGGTAAAATTCGTGAGATTAGGTCCCGTCTCAAAGAGCTAAAGCCTGCTATTATCATACTAATTGAAACTAGAGTTAAAGAAGCTAAAGCCAAGGCCGTTCGTGAGAAACTGATGATATATGATAAGCACATTGATAACTACAAAGGCCATACAAATGGTAGAGTTTGGATTCACTGGGATTGTAACAGGGTGGAGGTGAGATTCATTCAAAGTTGCAGCCAATTTATACACTGTGGTGTCTATGATAAATGTGGAGGATTCAAGTACTGGTTAACGGCTGTATATGCTCATAACCAACTCAACAAGAGAAGAATCCTTTAGAAGGAGATAGAACACCTGTCTATTAACATCCAAGGTCCATGGTGTGCTGTGGGAGACTACAATAATGTAACCAAAGCCCATGACAAATTAGGAGGTAATCTAATGACTGAAAAGGAATATGAAGACCTGATTAAAATGATGTGGAATACAGGTTTGAGTGAAATGGACAGCATTGGGGATCATTTCACATGGTCCAATAAACAAGCTGCTGGACCCATCTACTCTAGGATTGACAGAGTCCTAGGTAATACTGACTGGTTTCTCAACAATCTGGAGACTATGCTGAAAATTTTCCCACCTAATATTTTTGATCATGCCATGCTTTATTTGGAGGAAAAACAGGAACAGAGGAAACCATCCAAACACTTCAAGTTTAGCAACTTCCTTATTGATCTGCCAAGCTATGATACTGTGATAAAGAAGAGTTGGGATGCTCATATCAGGGTCAGCCCAATGTATGTTCTTTGGCACAAACTCAAGAGACTGCAACATGAGTTAAAACAATTCAGCAAAACTTTGTCTGATATTAAAAGAAAGCTGATATCAGCTAGGGCAAACCTTAAAGAAACACAAGGAAAACTGACTGAGGACAGATTGAACAACACTTTGGTTGAGGAGGCTAAGAATCTGACTGAGGAAGTGATTTCCATGAACGAGCTGGAATGGAAAATCCTACAGCAAAGGGCAAAAATTGACTAGATTAGAAAAGGAGATGGTAACAATCATTACTTTTATGAAGCTATCAAAGGCAAAAAACATTCCAACTGCCTTACCAATCTAAGAAAAAATGATGGCAGACAGTTAACAACCAAACCAGATATTGAAGAGGAAGTGATTAACTTCTACAGAAACCTGATGGGCAAGGATGTTGACTGCATGAACCACATTGATATTGAAGCCATGAGGATGGGAAAGCAACTTAACATGGAACAAAGGGAACACCTCACCATACCCATTTCTGAAGCTGACATCACTAAAGCCCTCAAAGGAATATGAGACCTAAAAACTCCAGGAATGGATGGCTGTGGAGCCAAATTTTTCAAAGCTAGCTGGGAAACTGTAAAAACTGATGTGATTGCAGTAGTTCAGGAGTACTTTGAAACAGACAAAATTTACAAAGCTTTCAACAGTGTTGTAGTTTCCCTAATTCTAAAAGACCATACTGCTTGTGAAATAAAAGACTACAAACCTATAGCTATGTGTACCACCTTTTATAAAATCATCTCCAAAATTCTGACAGACAGAATAGGGGCTGTTATTCATAGTATGGTAAGCCACAATCAAGTAGCTTTTGTGCCAGGCCAAAACATTCATAATCACATCATGCTTGCAACTGAACTTCTTAAGGGATACAACAGGAAAGGGGGTACACCTAGGATCATGCTACAAATAGATCTATAAAAAGCCTATGATATGGTGAATTAGACTGCTTTGGAATGTATCATGAAAGAAATAGGGATCCCTAACAAATTCATTGAATGTACTATGCTAGGCATCACCACAGTGTCCTACAGATTTAACATAATGGGTGAGTACACTGAAAGTTTGCAGCCCAAAAGAGGGATTCGACAGGGTGATCCCTTATCCCCTATGCTCTTTGTCCTCATGATGGAGTACATGAACAGGCTCTTGGTGAAAATGCAAAAAGATCCAAATTTTAACTACCATACCAAATGCGAGAAGCTGCAAATCACAAATCTCACTTTTGCAGATGATGTGTTGCTGTTTTGTAGAGGTGATGAAATATCTCTGCAAACGATGTTAAATACTTTCAAAAAGTTCTCCAATTCCACAGGTCTGATATTGAATCCTAACAAGTGCAAAATCTATTTTGGGGGATTGGATAGTGAAAGGAGAAAGACTTTGAAAGATCTGTCAGGCTTCCATGAAGGATCACTTCCGTTCAAATATCTAGGGGTCCCTTTATCTAGCAGGAAACTAAACATTAACCATTTTATGCCTTTGGTGGATAAAATTGTGGCTCGAATCCATCATTGGTCCTCTAGACTCCTTAGTTACGCAGGTAGAATTCAGTTCGTGAAAAGCGTAACTGCTGCAATGGTCCAATATTGGATGCAATGCCTCCCTCTGCCTAAAGTTGTGATCAGGAAAATAGACTCTATCTGCCGTAGCTTCATCTGGACCGGTAAGAATACAATTAGCAGAAAATGCCCCGTGGCTTGGAATCGCACCTGCTGCCCTACTGCTCAGGGTGGTTTGAATCTGCTGAATCTTCAGGTATGGAACAATGTGCTGCTCCTGAAATGTCTTTGGAATCTATGCAACAAAACTGATAATTTATGGGTTAAATGGGTCCATACTCATTACTTGAAGGAAAACAGTGTGATGAATTACGAAATCAAAGCATACAATTCTTGGATTGTACGCGGTATTTTGAAACAGCATAATAACATGGAAGTAATTCAGAATGAATGGGAGCAAATTATAAATGCACAAAAGTTTAAAGCTTCGGTTCTCTATAAGGTGTTGATTGATGATGGCACAAGGGTGCTTTGGGGAAAATTGATAAAGTTCAACAAGGCCCGACCGCGTGCAGTTTTTTGCTTATGGCAAGCTTGTCATGGGAAGCTTGCAACCAAGGATAGGCTGAAACGGTTTGGGATGATTAAGGACAACAGCTGCAAATTATGCCATGCTGAGGATGAAACGCTGAATCACCTTTTTTTCTCCTATCAAGAGACAAAACACATATGGAAGGAAGTGCTTAAGTGGTTTAACATTTCTCATGATCCTCGACCATGGGATGTAGAACTGGTTTAGATCAACAATATCACAAAGGGAAAGGGGTGGAAATTCGAAGTTTTGAAGATGTTGGTAGCTGAAAACATTTACAACATCTGGGGATATAGGAATGGCAAAACTTTTGGAAATGCTGTAGATAATACAACCACGATTACTAACATCATAGATCATGTGATCCACCGAGGGTGGAACAACAGTAAGATTAGAAAACATCTTCTTAGTTTTGTGATATAATCTTGAGTCCTCTTTTGTCGGTTGGATCCCCTTGGATCACCTAACTCTGTACTTCTCGCCATTTTGAATTAATATACTTATTCCCTTGATTAAAAAAAAGAGACTAATTTAGCCTATGAAATAATAATGAAAAATGAAATGAAATTAATTATGAAATAGAAGTAAAGTTCTCATAAAATGAAAGAAACACCACTAAAATCCTATCTTTCTTTTTAATAATTCCAGGTTAATCGAATTTGTCTGACTAATCCTGTATCCAACATAGCTTTCAATTAAGTTTTTTGACACCCTAACTGAGCAATTTATCGGGATAAATCTGAACCATCAACATAACCCAAAATGAACATGCTCCCCAGCTAACTTCATTCTAACAACTTGACCTGATTTAATCTGAACAGCTCAAATCCTTCTCCATCAAACAATTCCAACTACACCTCGGCACTGACTCACATCAACCAAACCAAACGGACCAACTTTTCTGACCACAACTCAAAAATTCACAACCTGACAGCCGGTTGCACCCGAATGACCATTTTACCCTCCATGAACTAGAGAGCGCCCACATGCGACTTTTCCTGCAACCATCAACTAACTACACAAACCTGTTAGTGACTGGTTAAATTCAATGCAAGTGCAATGGAATGCAAGATGAAACGACAAATCTTAGGGCAAAATTTGGGGTATTACAGTTGCCCCTATTTAAATAGCTTCACCGGATGATTTGAGCGGCGAAGGCTCTAGAAATCATGGTGGAGGGATTTAAATATAGATAACCGAAAATTTTGCCCTTAGATGCAGTGATATGCAATGATATTGACAAAACAAAAAAAGAGATAATGCTAACAATGCCATGAATATAGTATGATGCGTACGATGGAATGGTAAATGCGAATATGCAAACGACACGACGACATAGGGGACAAACGCGACTAACGAACCACACTGGGAATATGACGCACTGGGTAACAGCACGACACTAGGGAATTCTAAAGTGATAGTCGACTGGTGCGAGCATGACCAATTGTCACTTTTAGAAAAGGAATGGTAAGAACGAGATCCATAATGGAGATGGCACCGATGAGACGGCCTTCACTGGGGAATATCTGAGAGTAATTATTCAACAGGTTCAGGCATGACCGGCTGATACTCTAGGGTAAAAAGTAAATTGGATCTGCACGACTGTAGGATCGATTACCAAGATGCTGGAGCATTGAGCAAAGAATAACATCCGAGCTTCTGGAGCCTCTCCATCGTGAGAGGATCAGACGGAATTTTTAGGAATTCGTAGAAAATATACAGGGTAAAAACCAGTTGTATGCCAAAATAAATGGGCTTTAATGGGAAATGCCCTGATAAGCTTTTTCGAGAGAGAACTGCCACTTATCGTCGGAGGGACTTACGTGCCAAACTGGATAAGCTCTCCAATAAAGAGACTGTTGCTTATCTGTGGATAATAGATTGATTGATAATATAAACTTCTTCATGTCTCAAGTCTGTGCTCCCTGGACATGATTCGGTTTCTTCTTTTGCTAAAGGATAAAATAAACTTCTTCATACTTTAAGATCTGTGCTCTCATGAATATGATTCAGCTCCTTCTTTTACTAAAGGATAAAATGAACTTCTTCATACTTCAAGATCTGTGCTCTCCTGAATATGATTCAGCTCCTTCTTTTACTAAAGGATAAAATGAACTTCTTCATACTTCGAGATCTGTGCTCTCCCGAATATGATTCAGCTCCTTCTTTTACTAAAGGATAAAATCAACTTCTTCATAATTCAAGATCGTGCTCTCCTAAATACGATTCAGTTCAAACCTCCTCGCACTTCAAGATGAAAAGGAAAATGGAAACCAAGTTGCTCGATGGAGATGGCCATTTGCTGCAAGTCATAACGAAGATAGGATAAGCTCCTCAAGCGAGAAATATCGTTTATTGATAGGCTTCTCGGGTGAGAACTGCTTGTAGAGGTGGTAACAAGTAATGTAAATTGTAATGAAGATTGTAATGAAGGCTGTAATGAAAGTTGTAATGTAAATTGTAATAAATATTGTAATGAAGGCCGTAATGAAAGTTGTAATGTAAATTGTAATGAAGGTTGTAATGAAATAATGAGCTCCTTGTACGAGAATATCAATTATAGAGTGTAATGAAAAATTGTAATGAAAGTTGTAATGTGATAATGATGATAGGCTTCTCTTGTGAGAACAGTCGCATACCGGTTGTTGTAAGATGTACTGTAATGTCAATTGTAGTGATAAGCTTCTCAGGCGAGAAATGTCGCATATCTGCAAAGGATTGTAAATTCTTTCCTTGAGAGATAGTGCAAAATAAATGCACGTCCAGGTAGGTTCAGTGACCGACGGGACCGAAGTTCGATCCAGAAATGGGCTAGAAAGAACTGCCAAACAAGACTCCATTGAGGAAAGGAGCTCACATGGGAACTATCTTATCCTATCGAGGAAAGGTAACGGAAATAACCATCGTCCATGAGGGTTGAACTCTGTGGGGAAACTGGAAATAATAGGTATTTTATGCTTAGGGCTGACGATCTACTTGGAGAGAGCGGAACAACCCAGTTACTCGGAGGTACAACAAGGGACGACGACGAATAGCAAACATGCAAATGCTAATGCGTATGCCAAAGTGTATATGAATGTGTATGTTCCAGTATATGAAAATGTCATGCAATGAGTATGCATATGCTGATAAAACGGATGAGAGGAGGAAACATGAGAGGAAATACACATCTCAACGGGGATACCCGGAGACCTCTGCAACAGTACATCTATCGAGGGATAAGAAGAGTTGGTGGTAGAACCAAACCTTGCTTCAAAGCTCTAACTTCCCTGGGGAGAAAACATCATGACTTCCACATGGGGATATGACACGACTTCACTGGAGAGTATGATATCATGAATTTAACTAGGGATCCTTGATCTCTGCATGATGATACGGTGTCATGACTTCACGGGAGGGATTGCTATCATGAACCATAATCAGCCAAAGAAAATCTTAGGATCAGAGACTTCCGGGGATAAAATAAATATCCGCTTCGTGGGGACGATGTGGAGCTAGGTAGTTTCACGGAGATAGTGTAGCAACTTCCTAGAAATAATACCTCGACTTCTTGGGGACAAGGTACATCCAACTGGGGATAAAAGATGTCAAAAACTTCCCTGAGGAGAGTTCGTCGGACTTATTGGGGAGAAATCAACAGACCTTCCTAGGGACAGTATCTTGACTTCTTGGGGAGAATATGTCAATCTCCCGGGGAATATTCTTGAGGAAGGTAAGACAACTTCACCGAGGAACAGACAATTCCACTAAGAATGGGTTTTCCAGAACATATATCACTTGGAGGATACCGGGGATATCTCTGCAGTATTGAGAGTCACTGGAGACTTATCGGATGGATCCCAAAAGTGTGGACAACTTAAAGTCTCGCTGGGGACTATCATCGGGAAGATGCTGGTACGATCTCTGTAGTCTAGGAAATTATCGGCTCGGTCTAAAGGGTTGTCAACTTATAGTCTCGCTGGGGACTGTTTCATTTTAAAGTCTCTCTGGGGACTGTGTCAGTTTAAAGTCTCTTTGAGGACTTGTCAATTTAAAGTCTCTCTGGGGACTGTGTTGGCTTAAAGTCTCTATGGGGACTGCGCTGAGGCGAAGGTTTAGACGTGTTTCTGCAAAGATGAGATTCACTGGGGAATAAAGACTGCTGGGAGTAAAATCCATCGGGTGCATGAAGCATGTCGTGAAACAAGCTAGTTTTGATCTCAATGGACTTTGTAGTAGCCGCCATTTTGAAAAACATCATGCCCCAGAGTACCTGCTTTGCGAGAAAGTCATCTCGAGAGGATTTTACAGAGAAACATGGAGTCCAGATGGCCCACGGTTTTCAAACTCTTTGAGACATTTTTCTGATCTCGACGTAACTGGCACGGATCAACCGTGTTACGACTGAGTCTACAGGAATAGCTCTTAAGTATGTCAGGCTCGCATTGGTAAGCGACTTGGAAACCACCTGCCCCTGTTTAGCAGGATCTTCGAGTTCCATTATCGATGTTTATGTGTAAATTTCTAAGATGTTAGGCAAAATCGACACGTGTGAAATGCTATCCTGAAACTATCAATGCAACAATATTTGTCTTGAAAATTTTGAAAAAGTATATCACTATAACTCATGACCGAAATCACATAGTCAGGATATGAATTTGATTTATAATGCCAACATTAAGCATAACTCATAGGATTCAGGAAACATTATCTCGTCGAGTGTGCTTTCGAAAGAAATCCTACTTCAATTAGGTCTTTTACTGGTTGTATCATGGCTTGGTTCACGGTTTAAGAAACAAAGGATAAAGGCTCGAAGTTATTTGTACCCACCCATTCTTTATGATGTTCTCCAATCCTATTCAGTTAAAGGGATACGAGCACTCATATCTCAATCGGATTTGACATAGTCGAGAACTTATTGAGGCTTTGGATATGGCCGTCACTCACCTATTGTCTTTTTTGGTTGATCACACGACTGTGTTCTTTATTGGGGATTCTTTATTGTAATCCCTTGTTTTTGAAGGTGAGAAAAACACTTAGAAGGGGTGGGGGTTGAATAAGGGTTTTAAAACAACTTTAGTAGATAGAAAAATAACACAGTATTTTTATCCTGGTTCGTTTGAACTCAAACTAATCCAGTCCACCCTACCTAGGTGATTTGCCTTTCTCAACAAGGACTTAATCCACTATATCAAACTTGATTATAGTGTAAACCACTAAGACAACTG